AGCATAGATGGCAAAATAGGAAGAAAAACCAGCCTGAAGAAATTTATAACGCAACTGAAGAAATGCATAACTTAATCCTTTGAGAGAAATCAAAGCTTCTTAATCCCTTAAATGTCAAAAGGGTCTGTTTTTGAGTTCTGACCTAGAGGAAGTGATTTCCCACGTTTTGGGGTCTCAGGGTCCTCACAGAACAATCAGGGACACTATCAATCTCGGTGGGCTTTGTTGTTAGGAAGAGGTTCACTCCATAAATGGCACAGAGGGATTCTGAAGTACAGGAAGAAAGAATTAAGTGAAGGAACAGAAGTCCCTTCAAGAACTTGATCCCGAAAGCCTGGTCCTTGTCCCTGGCTCCCATCCAAATAATGAGGACAAGATTTTTGAGAAAAAAAAAGAAAATGAAGTTTTATTGGTTTGCAAATGAGAAGATGAGTAGAGGAAGGTCCCAAGGCTACTCTCCTAACAGCAGGAGGGAGCAAAGGGTTTTTTAAAGAGAAATCCAGGGTCGGGGTTCTGAGGGCACCGATCAGGAGACATCATTCATGTCCAGATGGTGTCCTTGAGATAGTTCAGGCCTCAAACCCTTTGGCACCAGCTCCCAGGTCTGGATTTCTTCATTCTCATGCTCAGGGCGCCCAAGGACACAATAGCTCTGCCTAGGAGGGGAAAATGTTACTCCTGCTTCCCCGGCTGTCCTGGAGCGAGAGAAGGAGAGGAAGAAAAGGGAGAAAAACATACAGGATTTAAGTTAAGCAAGGATCCGACTCAAAGCATGAGTGCACCTCGTTACAAACTGACCTTGGGATTGAGCTTGAAGGTGGTGAAGACTCTCAGTCTGCAGAGAGGAAGCAGCGTTCCAGCCGCGGCCAACCTGAATTTACAGAAAAGACAACTTAAATCCATTTAAACAGAAATAGAATCTGTTGATTTACAGAACTAAGAAAATCAGAGGTAGGGCAAGTTTGGGCTGTGGTCCTGTCCGGACGTTCATAATGCCACCGCAGCTCCAGCTGAGCTCTTTCAGCTGATGCTCCTCTGTGTGCCGGTTTATGGCGCTGGCTTTGCTCATCACGGTAAGATAGCTGGACCAGCCCCAGGCTCGTCCCTCATCCCCCATGACTGGGAAGAGTCCTGAGAGTCATTCGGATTGGAACACCTTAGGTCACACCTGTCAATCCCCTCGTGCAGAGCGACAGAATTAGCTACCCGGCTTAGCTTAAGTCACAACACCTGTGCAGGGCTGTTCTTTGAGTAGAGTCCGGTCCCTTGGGAGCACAGGGATCTCCCTGGGGAGGTGGGAGTTCTGACGGGAGCAGGGCTAGGCGGGGAGACAGCCGTGATGATGACCTCAACGGCGAAGGTGCGAGCTGTGGATGAGAGCAGCCCACTGATCGTGTGGCACGAGAGCGAGAAATGGAGCCTGTGAGGGCCCTGGGGGCACTGAAGCGGCGTCCTGGCCCAGGGCCTGGCTTGGTGTGACCCTGGAGTTTAGTGCTGCCGGTTCAGGAGATGGGCCTGCCTCCTCCTGTTAGTGAGGCTCATCTTCATCGCGTGGAGCCTTCGCTCTGCCTTCCGCTGCGCTGTGGTGGGGTTAGAGACAGGGGAGCCTGCAGTCCTGAGAGCCCTGTGCGCCACTGCGCGAGAACCTCTCCCGCGTTTCCCTCCAGCTCCGACCACGGGGAAGGAAAAAGAAGTCAAGTGACTTGTCCAGAGCCACGCGTGACAAGTAGGCAGAGGGAGGACAGAGCCCTCAGTCGGAGCTGTTGACTCCAAAGCCCGCAGGCAGGTCGCCATGTTGGGATTTTCCCCGGGACATGCGGGTTCCTTTGTCCTCTGGGTCACACCAGTGCTTAGGCTGATGACCCTTCCCACGGAATCACCCACTTCAAAGCCTTCTGCCCAGGGACACCAATGAGCGTGAGAGTCTGAAGGCAGGAGGCTACTTGTAAACTAGGCCCCCCGTGTCGCTGCCACCCCAAGACGGAGGACAGGAAGTCAGGCCTGGGGGAGCATGACCGGCAGCCCCTGAGCACCCTGTGGGCCCAGCTGTCACTGCTGTCCTCCTCCTCTCAGCCACGTCTCCAGCAGTTACTGAGCACTTGCCACATCCCAGGGGCTTCGTGTGTCTTCCATCCTGATGCCACCGCAGAGCCACCACCAGAGACAGCTGCTATTATTGTAAGGGTCTGGCGAAGCGTCGGAGGAAGAGACCACCAAGAGACTGACTCATGCAATTGCAGAAGGGGATTTATTGGGGATCCATTCCAGCGCGCTGGGGCTCCGTGCTCACTCAAGAAGGGAGAGCAGCCCAGAGCCCAGAGCCCAGAGCAGGGGTTGAGCAATGCTTAAGTACACTTTTTGGGGAGGGCGGAGGCTTTGCATACATCACAGTCTCCTTTAACAAATCACCTTACACCGCGGGAAAATCAAATAACAATTCTTAAACTTGATTAGTACATTCATTGGCAGGAACAGGTCAGGCGGGGGTGATTGGTCACTCCTAAGCGGGGTACACATTCAAACTGATTGGTTCGGGCCCTGTATGCCTACGTGACAAGCTGCACAGTGTCCTAGGCTATTAATTAACTAAATGGCCAGTAGGGCGTTGTCTTAACTGCCTCAGGAATTTCAGGTTCTGGGTGTAGCAGAGGAACTTAACAATACCTGGTCCTTCACTATTTAACCCAGGCCTTGCAGCTTAGAAACTTTACAATGCCCCGTCTTTTACATTTTAACTCAGGCTTTGCAGCTTAGAAACTTTACCCTTTCATTATCACCTCTGTTTTATAGATGAGAAAACCGAGGGAGGACCAGGAAGGCCGAGGTCACAGGAAGCAGCGTGTCCCCGGGAGAGGCGCACCCTTTGGCTTTCGAGGGGCCCACAGATCTCACGTGGCGAGCGAGTGGCCAAGTCGGTATTGAAGTCAAGTTCTGTCTGACTGTGGAGACGAGCTGAGTGCTTTATTAGGAAGCACAGTGGATAACTTCAGAAAGTTTCCAGTGTTCCCAGGAAAGCTCCCGACCCTCCTTGGTGAATCAGCACAGGCCTTTTCTTGAGTCATCTGTGCCCGTGGACACCATGGTCCCTCTCCTTCACTCCCTACTTCTTCCCTGTCCCCAAATCGCCTGACGTGGGGCCCTGAACAAGCCACTTCCTGTGTGAGCTCCTTTGAGGGACGTCTCCCTGCAGCAAATCCAGTGGGAACTTTCTGGAACCTAAGCCACCTCGCCATCACAGTGGCGCTGATGTGAATAGTGAACCCCTTGTTTTTTAAGGTCACAGACAGCAAAACCAAGGACCCTCGGAACGGAAAAGGCCGGCGTGAGCGATCACCAGGTATGAGAACCACTGCCGAAGGTGACTGCAGGGAGGTGTTGTCCCCCTCTTGTTCGCGTTCTGTTTTTAGCTGTGTTTTTCAGAGCAAGTAGGTGCCATGGTGATAGGAGCCATAGAAATAGATGCAGCACACCTCCCAGCCCGCCGTTCCCATGGCAAC